CAACCACATTAACCTGTTTTTGCTTCAGAAGATCCCCTCTTCCCTTAAAATTGCTCTTATGTCACATTTTTCTATTTCATATTTCTGTTCTAAGCATTTTAACAACATTGTGTAGCATTCTAAGTAATTGCTGTTACAAGTTTCACGAATACTTTTGCTAAAACATATGAATGGTTATTACCATGTTTATGGTGTTGTTACATCTTAACTTTGCACTTCATTACAAGTAGCCCAAACACTAATTTCAGAACATGCTGTACTGTATGGATGTCTTTCTCTTCAACTAATAAATAAGAACATGAAAATCTTGTTGGATAAGACAATAATTTCTACGTCTGAATTTACAGCTCCACTCATTTGTGTGGAACAAATGTTTTAGACTTACATAATCTGTTCTTGCACTGTAGCATTAGCCAAAGGGGAGGCTGCATATTTTTTCTTGGGTAAGGTCTTCAAAACTGCTCTGGAAAATAGCAACTTATCTTTGCTGGGTGTGTGAGAGAATGGGAGCACTAGAAGGGAGACTTTGCAAGCCATTTCAAGAATCCCAACATGTATCCAGACTTGTAACAGATAATACTTAAATCTAGCTCAGCATTGATTCTGGATTGAATCCTGTAGTCAAACCAATCTATCACAGAACTAGATGGAAGTATTGTCTTGGCACAAGGTTTGAGAAATTAGCTGCCTAAATTTCTTATCTCAAGGATGTTACAGATTCCTTTCTCTCTTGTAGGGTTTGGTTGTTGTTTGTTTTTTGTTGGTGGTGGTTGGTTTGGGTTTTAGCACAAAAAACCACAAAACAAAACAAAACAAATGGTACAAGTTATTGTGTCCGCTATATACATCAGTATCCTTTGTTACTGCAAGAGTGAAGATTTGGAAATTTGTTCTCCACCACCTTGTGATCTGTACTTCATTTCTGTTAGTTTAAATGAAGGCAGCTGGCTCTTGAATCAGAGTGCTCAAATTTGACACTACCGAAAAGTGTCATAAGTGTCATGTCCAAAAGGCTGGTTGCTTTTTCTCCAACTACAGCAGCAGAGAGAGGTGACAAAACACACATTTCTTTGCTGATATCTGACACTTACTTTGTAGAGACATACAAAGCAGAGCAAAATCAAGCTGTTGGACTTTTAGGTATAAAGCACAGCAAGATGTTCCACCCTAAATAATCCTGGGGCCTGAGTATCCCTGTGCAGGTTAAATTGCTCCAAAGACCATGGTTTCCAACCACAACCCTCTTGACAGAGCCTCAAAGTCATCTCTGAATTCCTTCACCTCTTCTCTGTGTGTGTCCACACTGAAGGAAGGCAGAACTCCTCTCTTCTTTCACCATCACAATTCAAGTGAGCCTTGTCCAGAGAAATGAAGGAGATCACAACAAAAGTGACTGAGAACTGACACAGGGCTTCTATTTTAATAATTGTGTTTGAATTTTTTTTTTTCCTGCACATGAAACTCCCTCAGACATGCCCCTTATCACAAAGGAAGGCTCTGCATAATTAATTCTCTACATAATAGTCCCACTGCATAATTAATTTATTCATTCACTTGCTGTATAACTGTTTCTCTACTTAACTGATTCACTTTTCTAATAGTTCTCTGCATAATTGATTCGTATTGCTGTTGATTCTCACCATTTTTATTTAATACAAGAAATGATTCACTATATAACCGCTTCATTGCTTAACTCATTATCTGCACAATTGCTTGATATTATAATTGATTCACTGCTTAACTGTCTCACAGGATAATGAACAGCAACTAATAGCCATCCACTTTTCACCTCCATTTCTATTCCCTGCAATTGCCCAAAGCTGTCCTGATAACTATTTTACCCTCTCAGCCTACTGCTATCCCCAGTCTTACTCCAGAGCACTACAACAGGCTGCCCAGAGAGGTCTCCTTCTCTGGAGTTATTTAAGATTCACCTAGATGCTTTCCTGTGTGACCTGCTGTAGGGAACCTGCTTTAGTTGTGGGGTTGGGCTCAATGATTCTCAGAGGTTCCTTCTTATGCTCACTGTTCTGTGATTCTGCTATCACCACCCCTTATTTCTTATGCCTCCAGTCCCCTTCTCCAGCTCTCCAATTCTAAACCTTCGCGCTCATCCTTTCTGTCCCCCTTTCACTAGTCCACTCCTCTTCTTTCAAGCTCCTTGGAATCTATATCATGTTCCAAATCATCCATCACTATAAGCCAGACCTCCCACAAGCAATGGAGAACCCATGAGGAAAGTCTTGCTGAACATGTCCTGCTGCAGGACTCCTGTAAGAAGTGAGATCAGGCTTGTAGGGAAATGAAGTTCTATTGAGCAACTTCTGTCACTCCCTGCAAGTAAAGAGAAAGGGAAAATCAGCATCTCTTATGGAGAACCTCCTCCCAGACTTCCATCTTCCTGTGTACTGCAACTGGGAGTGCCTGCAACCCCTTTCTGTGGCATGTGAGCACCTGCTCCTGTCTTGACTTAATGAAGGGTGGACAGTGCATCAATATGTGGTACATGAAGTCATGTGTAGGTTGGGAAGAGGGGATTCTGGCCCAGACTGACCTCTGACAAAAGGCACTCAGTTCGAGTAGCTTTCAACATGCATTGCATGCATCTGTTCATCCTACAAGTAAAGCATGCCCAATGAGAACACAGCAAGATTCAATATTCTAATGTAAATGCTATTTCTTGCTGCTACCAACTATAGTACTTGAACATATATTACACCAGTGTCTTTCAAGACATGAGAAATCATGGTGGGGCTATTTCTGACTATTGCCTGAGCTTCCATGGAGTGACACCATGGGGTTTCTACAAGGAGATCAGAGCACAACTCTGATCTAAGACCCCCAGAATGGCTGTTTAGTAACATACGAGTTCAGGTCAACTGGTTCAAACCTTGGCCAGGTCCTAAGAGCTAGGATTGCAGCATACTGGCAGTCAGCACTATTAGCAGTTACTGCCATCTATGGGTAAGATCGTTTTAGCTTCATTCTTCTCAGGAAGTGATTCTGATTCTTTATAATAAATAATATAGCTATCCACATATCTAAACAAATGTAACATGAGAAATCACACTGCCATCACTGATTTCTCCACGAAAAAAAGAAAACAAAATAATGATCAAGGACTTCACCTGTACATCCACCTGGAAAGGATGGGAAAAGATGTTAACATTTAAAAGGATTATCTGACACAGATTGGGAATACAATGTCATCAATTTATTTTCCTTCCTCAATATGTTGGGTGCCTCATTTGATTTAAAACCCAAAGGGACAAATGCATCCCTGATATAATACAACACTGACATTACTCCAAATGCTCCTTATCATTTGCATATTAATTTGAATACCATTACAACCTTTTTTTTTATTTTTAAATCGCTGCAAAATGGGAAAGCATCAGTGATTCTCTTCCTTTTTCAGCCTGGGAGTTTTTAGTTTTTCCCATTTAGAATTAAGAGCTATTTGGGGCATTCATCACCCCTGACAGCTGCTAATGCCCCTCATCTCTGCACAGTCACTGTGCTAAAATATTTGGAGAAAGTAACGGGACTATTTGTTTCTATTTTGGACTGCACCTGTCCTCCTTTCAGTTCATTTGTCTTTCTGTGACAATGGCTAGTTCCAGATGCTTATGGGAAAGAGAAAAACCTCCACAGCAGAAAATTAGTACAAGGCAATGGGAGTCAGCCCCTTCTTGTTGCAGGTAAATACACTGTAAACTCCCTTTCATAAGCCAACCACATCCATCTGAAAATTGACTTTGGTTTTTGTTCTCTCCTGATTCCTGTTAGGAATCTTGTTACATGGACTGTTCTGTTGAGTAAAATCCTTTTAATTAGAAATCCACACTTATTCATGGTCACATTATACCAAATATTCCTTTACCAGAACTGTACTTCTAAATAAAGTGTTATTTTTCTCTGCCAACTATTCCATTCCTATCTTTAGTGGCCCCCCTGTGGATCTGCTCCAAGAGCTCCATGTCCTTTCTGTACTGGGGGCCCCAGGCCTGGATGCAGTGCTGCAGATGGAGCCTCACAAGATCTGAGTAGAGGTGGACAATCACCTCCCTCTCCCTGCTGGCCATTTCTCTTTTAATGCAG